CTTACTCCTCCACGTACTTTTCCCTGGTTTTGTGCCTTAGATGGGGCACTCTCCTGGTGTCGAGGCATTGGCAAGTGGGATGTCATCGAATGTTACCACTCGGACACCCCATTGCTCTTCTGTCCTCAATGAACAATTCAAGAACTTCAGTGTTTTCTTCTCTTTCTATGCTGCCCACAGGCATGCAGGTATTGTTCTGCTATTCCTCTGATATTCTGGGGTATCAGAAACCGGGAGGCTGCCCGAGTCCCACCATCACATCATATGCATAGCCACTGCTTCTCTAGATCTAGCCGGTCCCTTAGGGCTCAGCCAGGGACACATGGCACATGCCCACAACTGCCCTCACTCTGTCCTTCCACGATGTAGCTTACCATCTTCCTGGGTCCTAGCCTGTGGTTCAGGCTACAGGGCCTCGGTCTCTAGGACCCACCGATCCCATCCTTAAATTCTTCCCCCTGCAGCTCCCTCTGTTTCTCCCCAGTCGGGGAAACATATTTTCTAGTCTGACTGTGGGGAAGCTTTCTCATCATATATTCTCCTAAATATTTCATTTAGTAGTCAGTCATTCTGTGTATGTTCACCTATAAGGCCAATTTGATAGTGATAATTATGAAGTTGGTGCAAAACCTAATCACATCAAAAAAAGTTCAGTATCATGACAGGTGAGTATATAGAGGTGGTTAATAGAGTCATTTCTTATATTCTGATTTTCTCTTTCACACACCATTCAATTGTGTGCATTTAAAACTTTGGGAAGAACAGGCTTAAAGTAGACTTATGGTGTATGTGCTCAGTCGCTTACTCATGTCTGACTCTTTGCGACTCCATGGACTGCAGACCTCCAGGCTCCTCTGTCCATGGAATTATCCAGGCAAAAGTACTGGAGTGCTCTGCCATCTCCTTCTCCAGGGGATCTTTCTGACCCAGGGATGGAACTCACGTCTCTTGTGTCTCCTACATTGGCAGGTGGATTCTTTACCACTAGTGCCACCTGGGAAGCCCCAGACTTATGGTACTTTTTGTTAAAGACAATACCATAATAAAGATGCTCAATACTACTAATTATCAGAGAAATTCAAATGAAAACTGCAGTGAGTATCACCTCACACCAGTCAGGATGGCCATCATCAAAAAGTCTACAAATAATAAATGCTGGAAAGGGTGTGAAAATAAGTGCAATATCCCATGTGGAACCTAAAAATATGATACAAATGAACTTGTTTACAAAACAGAAACAGATTCACAGACATAGAAAACGAACTTACAGTTATCAAAAGGGAAAGGGTGGGGAAGGATAAATTAGGAATTTGGGATTAAGGAATACATGTGGGGTGACCCAGGTGGTGCTTGTGGCAAAGAACCTGCCTGTCAATGCAGGAGACATGAGAGAGGCGGGTTCGATCCCTGGGTCAGGAAGATCCCCTGGAGGAGGGCATGGCAACCCACTGCAGTATTCTTGCCTGGAGAATCCCAAAGAATGAGGAGCCTGGCAGGCTACAGTCCATATGGTTGCACAGAGTCAGACACGACTGAAGCGACTTAGCATACCAACACTACTATATAGAAAATAAATAATAAGGACCTATTGTATAGCACAGGGAACTCTACTCATTATTTTGTAATAACCCTAATGGAAACGTTGCAAATCAACTATATTTCAATTTTTTTTTAAAAAAAAAGACAATACTGTACTCCTAACAAGTGGAAAACCAGTACATTTCTTCTCTTTCAAAGTAATTTAACCTAAAGTTTCCTAGTTTTGGTACAAATTAGAACTTTTTCAAGTCACTTATTTGGAGATTTGCTAGGGCTGCAGATACAGTTTTCTGCCACTAGATGTCTCTGAATCTTAAAGTAGCACAGTAACGAGGCTTTTGTCTATTTATACACACAGATCACCTACCTCTCCATTACAGAGTTTCATAATCCTCTTATGTAATGTAAGGTTGTCAGCTACAGTTAATCATCAGTTAGGAAACAGGCGGGGGCTCAAGGGCTCCATGTCCCCAACATAAGGCCAGAAGTGTTGAGAGATGGCTCTGTTTCTGTGTGACCACACAGAACCCCACAACCCTGAAATGTGTCTCTGTATTGGGCATAGACAGAGAAATTGGGCAGCGGAAATAAAGAGCAGCTGAGGCATGTGACCAGATGGATGACGAGGCCAAATCCTCCTTTTTCCTACAGTTTGGAACCAGCAGAGGAGCTAGTGGGCTGAGTAGCATCTCAGCCCTGTGTGTCTCCCCTGCCTGTAGGCACCTCTTAAAACCCTGACACCTGTCACAGCTAAGCCCCCACCCACCCACCCCAGCCCCCAACCAGGGAACCCAAGGGTCAGCAAAAGCCCCAGAATGCTCCCCAAATTCCCTAGTACTTTGTCAGGCCATCTCATCAGTCTGCTTTCTGTGGTGTTTACATGGTCGCATCTGTCAGCCTAGACAAGTACCCCCAGCCAGTGAGAACCACTCTTCTTCAACTTTGCAGCCCCTACACCTTGCACCAGTGCTTCTATACAGTAGGTGTACAGACAGTATCTCTTGAAACCAGAGTGGGATCATGGAGGTGGGAGAAGACAGATGAAATTATTCTTTACTCCTGAGATTTTGAATCTTAATAGCTCAAATCCTCCAAAAACAGAAATAGCCTTTTTTTTTTATTAGTTGGAGGCTAATTACTTTACAATATTGTAGTGGTTTTTGTCATACATCAACAAGAACCAGCCATGGTTTTACGTGTATTCCCCATCCCGATCCCCCCTCCCACCTCCCTCTCCGCCCGATCCCTCCGGGTCTTCCCAAAGAAATAGCCTTTAAAGAATGCACCTCCCTACCCCTTCCCCACCCCATAGTTATTTGCAGGCTGGTTTAAGCAGCTTTTTAAAGCCTAGAATTTCAGTGTGAGGGTTAAGAGTGTGAACTTTGGAGTAAGATTGGAGTAATCTCAGCTCCAATATTTTTAGTTTTGGACCCCGTGGCCAAAGACAGGCAATCTCTAGCTCAGCTTGGGCTTCTGTAAAATAGAAATACTAACAGCACTCATTTCATAGGTTTACTGTAAAGACTCCGGAGGTTAATACTCATAGCATGGTTAGCACAGCTCCTGGTAAACAGCAGCTGCTCAGGGGAGGTTACTAGCTCAGGGCCAAAGCAAGAATGCCTTCAGTTCAAACATCCTCCAGTAACTCGGGCAGGTTACCTAAACTGTCTTAGGCCTTGGTTTCTTCATCTGTAAAGTGGTGATAATAACACTGCTTGCCCCATAAGATTAGTATGGGGAATAAGTGGAACAGGAAGCTACCAGCACACCTTAGCTTCGGTCATCAGTACCCTTCAGCACTTACAGCATTAAGTAAACACTGGTGCATAGGTGGTCAGGAGATGGGGAATTGGTCATTGCACTAACACAATACTGGCAACTCCCTACCTTTTCTTCAACTCCTTACTTTTGGATAATTTTGTAAAGTATTTCTATACATATTATTTCATTCGGTTTATAAAAGCCCTTCAGCTCACTCTAACCCACAGTTGAGTGGTGATTCGCGAAATGCGTGACTCCAAACTAGTGCCTCATCAGGTCCACCGGGGAAAGCCAGGATTGGAGACGTCTGGGCAAAGGGAAAGGGGGTGGGGGAGAGTAGTCGGGAGTGGCTTGTGAGCTTTATCTAAGCCATTGGTTCCTGTCCTTCTCCAGCTGGTGATATTGTTCATGGTGCTTTTAGTGATACAACAAAAGCTATGAATACTCACCCGGAAAACTGGACAAGCTTACATTTCATAGACTTTATGCTACCAGAGCTGCTCTAGATCTTTGCTCAAAACCTGCAACCCCAACTTTAGCAGGAATTAACATAAATCTTAAGTTAAAGGGTCCAGATATTAGAAAGGAAGCTACAAACAAACAATAATCAGATGGAGACTTTCTTAGCAGTCCAGTGGTTAAGACACTGTACTTCCAAAACAGGGGATGCACAGGGTTCCCTGATACCTGGTTGGGGAACTAAGATCCTGCATGCTACATGGTGTGGCAAAAAAAAAAAAAGAAAGAAAGAAACCAAATGGAACCAGCCAGGACCAAGATGGCAGGAATCTGACCTTCAACAGATGCTGAGTCTCATTATATGCTTCATTCATTTTACTTCATTAGTAAATAAATGGCACACCTATCAGTGACCAGGACTGACAGTAAAGACCAAAAGGGATAAAAAGAGGATGGCATCCACTGCCTGCGACGAGGGATGAGGGAAGCGACAAGGGAAGAAGCCTCGTCGCTTTCCCAGTAGACTAATGCACCTGCCTCCCCATCACTAGCCTCATTCCTCCTCCCTTTATCTTTTTCCAGATGGGCAAGAAGTTGAGCTATAAACTTAGTTCCTGCTTCTCCTTTCTTTGGCCACCGAATAAAGCTTGTACTGCCTCAATCTTGGTTATTAGCCTACTTAAACCTGAGGCAGAGAGCCTTGGTCAGCCTAGGGCCTGAGCAGGGGCCATAGGACTTAATTCAGTAATACCTACACAGAGTCATATTGAGATCTGTGACAAGTTATAATTTTGCATCCCCTTCAAATCCATTTTTAACAAACATTTGTTTAATATTTATTAGCAGTAGCAGAGAGAAACAAATTCTATATTAATAAAAGTACTACTCCTCTTTGTGCTTGAGTTTAGAATTTACTCACATACATGCAGTTTTCTGAACTTCTTAAATTCCCTTGAAAGTTAGTGAAATAAATTACTTCTGATAGCCAGCACAACTCTGTGATTTATTCTACCGACTGCAAATGTCTGCTGATTGGGCACCATGCAAAAACACTCAACAGAAAGAACCCCACTGAGGAATGTTCTGTTTTTTCTCTGGAGTCTGAGACCAAGGGCGGTTGAAATGTTTCTAGTCAGGCAAGTGTTGCCTGCAGAAGCAGGAACCATCTTTCCGAACCCTCCAGTTCCACTTGGGGGCACGTGATAGATGAACAACATATCAGCACCTGCTGACCTACTCACCTCGTTGTCCGTATTTGGGTTCAGGGCGCAGGTTAAGACACGTGGACCAGACAGTCTGCGTTTAAACATCAAGAAGGTCGTTAGTAGATCTTTGTAGGCACGAATACCTCGCCCTTCACCTGAAGTTCACTGTGATGGGAAAACGAAGAGAGGTCAGGAGACTCGAGATTCTGAAAGCCAAAGAGGGAGAAACAATTAGGCGTCCACTGAAGCTCTGAGAGGGACACTTGAGTCAAGTGGGGCTGCCCTGCGCCTCCATGATTGTCTGCAAAGCTGACATCCTTGACGAGTCTGAGCGGCTCCCAGCTGCCAGCCCAGCCCCTGACTCTGGTTCTGAGCACTGGGTCCGGCCACAGGCCCTTTAATTAAGGCCAAAGTGGCAGAGGCCGAGGGGATTGTGAAGTACAGTATTCTCACCTCAGCTCTACTGGGGTGGCGGTGTCAGGGGCACCGGAAGTAACTCTTAGACTTCCGGCCGGCCAGACTCCATTTCCGGCCTGCAGAGGCTGGGCCCGGGTGAGTGGGCTGGCAGAGCCCGGGGACTTTTCATGTCAGTTTTCAGAGCCAGGAATCCACTGGTCTAATGTCATGAAGATTTGGTTCATCCCCAAAACACAGGGTGGTGCTTGTCAGCAAGTCTGCACCACAGAGGACGCTTTGTGTAGGCGATTGGCTCAACTGAGGGCCAGGGCCTCCCTGGCAGCTTTTGCTGATGCTGTGCAACTCCGTGCTGGGAGCCAGTGGGCAGGAAAGGCCGGCCTCCAGGCTGATCCCCCGTCCCACCCGCGCTAACCCCGGGCTGGGTTGGCAGCAGCGGTTTAGCAGTGCGAATTGGAAGAGCGTCATGCCTCAGAGGACAATGTGTTCCACAGAGGTGGTTCTCCAAGCGGGATCCTCCTGGCAGAGGTAGCTGCAGCGACTGGGAACTTGTAAGAAATGCACAGTCGCAAGCCTCGGACGCTCTGGGGGCGGGGCTGGTGGCCTAAACCCTCCAGGGGATCCTGCTGTGTACTCAAGTTTGAGGATCACTGCGTCACGCGCTAATCTGCCTTCTGACACCCACTGTAACCTGCCTTCTCACACCCTCTGTGGGGGCTCGGGGGAGGGGGCGGGGCAGCTGCTGAGCTGACAAGGGTCCAGTCAACCAGTCCCAACATCCATTCCAGCATCTACCCCTGAATTCAGGCTTGGGTATCAGCGCGGAGAAGCCACGCCAGAGGTTCTCTGTGACCTCCTGCACTGCCCACAGCAGCCCCAGGTAGGATCCGGGAGTGAAGGTTTTGTTTCCCGGGAGAGGTCTGGTCCCTGGCTCCTGAGCGGGGCTGAGGGGGCCAGGTGACCCCACACTCAACCTTCACCCCTGGGGATACCAGGGTTATGTACACATGGGTGAGGAGCTTCAGAGCAGGAGGCCAGGGTTATAAAATGTCAGAAACCAGGGTTGCTACCCCCACCCCTTCTAATGACCCACTTGGTGGTGGTGGTGGTTTAGTCGCTAAGTTGTGTCCGATTCCTGCGACCCCATGGACTGTAGCTCGCCATGATCTTCTGTCCTTGAGATTTCCCAGACAAGAATACTGGAGTGGGTTGCGATTTCCTCCTCCAGGGGATCTTCCAACCCAGTGATCAAACCCTCCTCTCCTGCATTTCAGGAGGACTTTTTACTGCTGAGTCACCAGACAAAAGACATGGGGAGGTGGCTTGCCATTTTGTGTGGGATTCAGGTTCCTTGTTGAAGACCAGGCTATGCCTAAACATAGAGACACCCTGTGCTTTCTCCTCCATGCCAGGGGAATAGCACCCAAGGCAAAGTGGGCTCTGTTAGCTCACCTTTCTACTTCACAGAGAGAGGCTCAGGATGCAGAGGCACCTCTGGGGTGATCTCAGTCCTGGGAATCTGGAGTCTGCAGAGAGACAGGAGGGGACTTGAGGTGGCCCCCTGAGAGCCCACCTCATCCTTCTGCTGGCATTGCCTGCACTCAAGAGGTGAGGGCAGAGGAATCAAGAGAGGATGAAATGCAGATTCTTTGAGCAGTCTATTTCATCTTGACCCTCTGTTTACTGGAACACACATTCTTTAGCGTACATACACACAAAATTCAACAAATTT